AATAAATAAATAAATAAAGCTATAGAAGACTGAAGAGATCACCTATGTAGTCTGTGTCAGGGAAAACTTTACTCTTTCAGTTTGCAGTAGCTGGGGGCATTAACAGGGAAAAAAAGCACACAATTTTTATTAATATTTACATACATGGAAGTTCGGAGAAGAGTAAAATTCAAAGTAGTTAGACTCAGGGGCTTATATACTATTTTAACGAAGGGTTTTGAGAGACAATAAATCATGGGGAAGTAATATAGGAGGGAACTAATGGAAGATAAGGGTTATTTTAGCTAGGTCTGTCTATCTCATCTGTGTCAACTCTCCATCTTAAATGGTAAGAGTCACTCTTTCCTTCCTAGTTGAAGGGGAACACATATTCACAAAGGGAAATTTATGCCCCACTTTTAGGCAGCTAACTGGAGGGCAGAAAACTCTTCCTGCAACTGCTGATTATCAATTGCCTTCTGCTCAAAATAACTCTATGTCAAAGTGGAATATTGCAGGGTAGCACATCCTGATTCTCTTTATCTGCTTTTAGTTTTCACTGAATATGAGGTATTCAGTGAAAAAACTTGGAACTTTTTATTTTCTGCCCATAATAGAACAGACAGAAGAGAAATTTCACAATTATTAGATGAGCCTGAAGATGAATGCAAAGATAGATCACATGTACTTCAGAATATAATGACAATGAAATGTAGAAAACAGACTAAGACTTCAGATGAGATATTCTAGGTTAATTTTCTCAAACTCAACAATCAACTGAATAATACATTTCTAAAAAACTAAAAAGAAATATGGTATTCTCATTCAGCAGGAAGCAATTATCATTCAGTATTTTTACAAGAATATGGACCATGCTCTTTTGCTGAAAGTTTATACGACAGTATTCTTTCACTATCTGTGTGTTTGTGCAATAAAACTTAACTTGGTAAAATTCCTAAGTGGACAAGTATTGAATGCAGATGTATACAATGGTGATGAGAAGGAAATAAATCACATAGAAATTCTAATTCATTGGATTGATTATTCTTACCGGTGTCTACAAATCTAAAAGTGAAAATATCACATAATTATAAAGCATAAAAGATGGCCATCCTCCTTCAACAAAATTATGAACCATCAAAGCCTTCAAAAAATTCAAACACTGCATTTGATGATGCACATGTAAAAAGAAGACCCAGCAGGAATGATAAGCTAGAATCTATTAGGAAAGTATCTGAAATCTCAAATCAGTATTTACAAGATGAGTATGTTCCACATATATGACAGTTGGTGAGTAGTTGGTAACATTCAGATGATGTTGCCCATTCAGATACATAAACCTTCAAAACCTGGTGAATACAGAATAAAAATCTGGGCAACATGCGATACTGAAACATTGTAAGCTTGAAAGATACAGATCATAGATTCAGGAAAAGGTGTGAGCAAAACCAAGAGAATTACAAGAATTGACAAAAGAGTCTAAAAATTCTGTCAGAAATACAACTTGCAAAAAACTGAAGGAATAAAACAGCAGCAGATTCACAGAACCCAATGGACTAGCGGTTACCAAAGGGAAAGGGGGTGGGGTGGGGGGAAAGAGAGGAATAAGGGGATTAAAGGGTATTATGATTAACACACATAATATAGAGGGGGGGCATGGGAAAGGCAGTATAGCACAGAGACGACAGGTAGTGACTGTATAGCATCTTACTATGCTGATGGACAGTGACTATAATGGGGTATGTGATGGTGACTTGATAATAGGAGGGAATGTAGTAACCACAATGTTGCTCATGTGAAACCTGAGCATAAGATTGAATATCAATGATATCTTAATAAAAAATTTTTTAAATACAACTTGTGAAAATTTTTCTAAGTGTAGAATTGACTTAGCATTACCCAAGAAAGAAATTTTCCTTAGTTGGCAATATTAAAAAGAACAGGGTTGAACTGTGAATTTTCACATATGGAAAGCAAGAGAAGTCAATCAATTGTACATAATCTAGATTTCAGATGTATTTGATAATTGTTACTGTACTAAAATAAGCTAGTTTTTTTATTCTCAAGCATCAGTGAATTCAAAACCCCTGCACAAACTAACCTAAAGAGAGCTGTATTTTATAAAGACTAAAGGAAGGGTAGAAAACACTCACTATGCTTGCAAAGGAATAACTTGAAGATGATGGCCTATAATTTATTAGTGCAGAGAAAGCTTTCATTGTATGGGGAAAGGTTCAAAAACAAAACCGTAGGTTACCAAGAATAATATTCCTCATGCAACTTGGAAAAAGCCCTGCAGGAACTAGGGAGAGAATTCTGTCTTAGCCCCTAAACGCAATGTTCTTTTGAACAAATCTCAGAGAGGGAAGAATAAAGGGAGATGTTCAAAAACTTTGAAAAAAAGCATGCAAAAATTTTAAGAGTGTTTGCCAAAAGCATTCAAATGTGATGCATATTCTTTGTAGAGGTAGTATATAATTATAAAGGCATGAGATATTTTTTTTTCATTTTTCTAAGTATATACAGAGATTAGCTCTATTTAAATTCTTAGGATTAAATTCTTAGGATAAATTGTTTCACATTATACCTTTGTTCTTCTTTGAAATATGTAAGATAAATTACATGATATAAAATTGTATAAAATATATTATTTAAAAAAATGAAATGAAGTGGTTTCTTTCAATCAAGATGGTAAGTAGCAATAACTTTTTCCTGGTATACTGAGTGTTAAAAAGAATCCTTAAAAGAAAAACACTGCAGAAATGAATAAAAATTCCAAATACACATTTCTGATACAGGTTTCTAAGTAAGTCAAGTCATTATTTGTATCTTTGAAACACCCTGACTGAAAAATCAAATTTCTGAATCCTCTAAGCAGGAAAAGAGACTATTCAGGATTATATATTTAATTAGTGAATGTCATAAATATTTCCTACCTTTCTAATATCACTTTTAAAATCTAGCAAAATATACTGTCAACAGTCTCCAATTTTCTGTCACCTAAAACTTCAGTTTACTTTTCAGTTACAAAAATTGCTGTTCTATTTAGATACATCCCCTTCCTGATTTATATGGAAAAAATCATGGTATAGTTCTAAGCATTCTCTTCAATAAAGAAAACAAGTGTGGGAGAAGAAGGTACAAAATTGTTTCTTTCTTTCCTTTGCTCTCCTCCCCCTTACTGAAAAGCCAATTTTGAGTAGTAAAACACAGGACTGAACTAGATAACCTAACTGGAAGGAATGGGTTGAAGTGGGGATGCTGAAATTAATCCTTCAACATCAACCAAACTCAGAACTTTTCTATTTATCACAGCTCACTACTATTACAAGGGCCCTAAGTAAACGTTCAAAGGCAAAGTCTGACATCTACATTCTGCCTCTCTCCTAGCCATCCTAGGTTCTCATGATGCCAACTGGTAGGAGCAATTCCAAGGTCCCTGAACTAGGTAAGTCAACCCTGTCCTCCAAAACTGCTCCCCTCTTTCATCTACAAACACCCATTTATAGAGGATTGCTCCCAACTATGTCGTTATCAGATCATTGCAGGTATTGAAATACTAATACCAAATACTACTGCCAAAACATTACCCCCAGAGTACTTGTTAATTGCAAAGGGAAAGGCTTCCAGTGGATAGTTTGTCACCACCTTATCCAAGAGATAAAATTTAGGATTACTAATAGGATAGCCCTTTGATATGCCCTTTGGTGTTGTATGTGAAGTACACTACATGACTTACAAAGTGTTCTTGCCAAAAATACTAAGCCTACTCTACTCAAGCCTTTACATCTAACTTCAAGTTTGTAGAAAACACAGGGTATAGAGGGTACAATTTAAACCCCACGAGGAGGAAACTGTCAGTAAAAAAAAGAATGTGGGTTATTCTATAAGAGGACTGGCCAGGTCTCTTCAAAATGTAAACGTCATGGAGGAAAAAAAAGGCGGAGATGGGGGTGTCTGGGAGAGAATGATGCCAAATAAAAGAAATTAAAACAAATGTAATGCATAATTAGATACTGGTTCCAAAACAAATAACTAAAAAGGAATTTTTAGGGGACATTGGAGAAAATGTGAATACGTACTACATACGTATATCAGACTGGAGGTAGTATTCTTAATTTTCTGTGATTATGGTATTGCTGTGATACAGAACACTGGCCTTAATCTTATGATTTACATACTGACACACACAGTACTTAGATGCGAACTGTCATGATATCTGCAGTGTGCTTTGAAATGTTTACCTAAAAGGAATGACACAGGTAGATAAACGAAATATGGCAACAAGGTAACAACTTGAAACTATGTAGTATGCATGAGTGTTCAAAAGGTCTATTCAACTTTTCAATATGTTAGGGAAAAAAGTAACATTGACAACTTAAACAATTAAAAAGAAATGAACTCTTCAAAACTAAAAAGGGGCAACTGAATAGTATATTTCTTAAATTTTGTAGGAGTACCTCCTTGCCTCTTCTCTCTCCATCCTCACAAAAGAAATGAAACATAATGAATTGGGCATTGAATGAGTTAACAGAATACCTAAAGTTCTAGAAATGGCTATCACTTCCTAGCTACGACCTCATTAAAAAACCTTCTAAGGTTCTTTCTTCACCTTCAAAACCTTTTAAGCAACGTAAAACCACTGCAAAAGGGGTTGTGAAGTACAAATCAGGTGGGATCAAGTACAAATAATTATAACACTATTTGTACTCAGGTTTTAAAGTATCCCGAGCACACAACCCTAACTTAATTCTCTAAGCAAACCAGTGCCTTCTTACGCACAGTAAATTTCTGCTTAAGGACAGCTTGCCACGGTGATACCCAAAAGCAGGACACCTCACAAATGTTAACAGGGCTTTTGTACTTAACTCTCCTCCAAGGTTCCAATTTTATGTTTAATGGCACTGAAAATTGTCAAATTCTTAAGACACAGTCCAAACCTGAACAGTTAAAAAAAAAAAATAAAAGGAAAATTAAAAAAAAAAAAACAGAGATCTTTGCAAACAAAGAGAACCCTATGGATGAAGGTCTCCTGTGCTTACAGCAGGTTCACTCTGACGTTTCTCCTCTACAGCAAATTTCTCCGTAAAAGCGTTAAACCTTGAGGTAAGCTGGGGAGGGAGGGGGGGACTTCCATCTCCAGAGCAGGATAAAACCTGAGTGAAATCACTCCTTCCGTCTCATGAAGTGAAACCTGAAAGCTCAGTTAGAAAATTGTGTATCCAACTCCACGTTTCTTCTCATAGCCTCTTCCCCGTGGACAATAACGGGACTTCTACGGCCAGGCGGGGAGGTCCCCTTTGACGCGGAGGGTGTGTGCGCGGCCAGGCCACCTGCGCGGGGGAGCCAGGGCCTGGGGTCCCGGGTGCCTCAAAGTTCGGAACCCCTTTTGGTCACCGTCTACAAATGAAGAGACTCGAGGGAGGGCTTTTGTGAGAGAAGCATGGGTCCCCGCCAAACATCAGCACAAAATTACGGAGGACCAAAGGAAGCAGCCTCCAGGAAGGAAAGCCAAAACCAGGCTGAGGGCAAACAGGCGCACAGGCCCTGGCGGCGGCGGCGGCGGCGGCGGCGGCGGACGCAGGCCGAGGCCGCGGTGGCCTGCGCGGCCCCGGCCTGCCGCACCGAGCCGGCTGCCGCGTCGCGCCGGCATCCCTCCCCCGCCGGGGCCGGCGCAAAATGGCGGTTCGGCCGCCGCCGCGCAGCCGGTCCCCTCCCCCGCGCCCTGGGCGCTCTCGGCACACCGCACGGGCCTCAGCACCCGCGGTCCAGCGCCCCGGAGTGAGGCGGCGCAGGCGGCGCGGGAGGGCCTCTGCCGGCTGCAGCGCGGGGCGGGCGGGGGCGGGGGGCGCTTACCGTGAGCGGAGCGGATCGGCCTGACTGGGGCTCTGAGGAGGAGGAGAAAGAGGAGGAGGAAAAGGAGGAGCACCAAACACTACACGGCGGCGACGGCGGCGGCGGCGGCGGCGGCGGCGGCGGCGGCAGCTCCCATTGCGGAGTTGGCAGTTGAGCCGCGGGAAGGGGGGTGAGGGGTTCTCGTGGAGCCGGCGCGCTGCCTCATGGGTAGGCTCCGGGTCAGCCTCCGCGCGGCCAGCCTCCCTTTCTTTCCGCCGACGCAGGAGGCGGGCGCCTGCATGTGCGCCACGTCGCAGGCCCTCGAAGGCCGCGGCGCCCCGCCATGAGGGCCTGCGCCGTGTCCCGTGCGGCTGTCGGCGCCCGCCTGTTCGCCGCCCAGCCCCGGGCAGCGGTCCCGAAATGGGGGGCCGCACGGAGCCTGAGAGCGTGGAAACGCGAGTTCCAGGTCCTCCCTGTGCCTAACAACTAGTTCTTCTCAGGCTTGGGAGTAGTAAATTCTTGGAGGAGAGGCGCCATGAAAAAGAAGGCATAAACCACATGAGAAAATGAAGTAAAGTCGGGTTCTTTTAATATTTGGCCAATTTTGCCAAATTTGTTTCAAAAATAGGATTTTGCTTTTATCTCCTTTAATTCTCCTTTAACTCTGCCACATAGATGCCGGTAATAACTTTGGGAAAACACGTTAAGATCAATACATTTACAAGAACACTTGCCAAGAAACTGCTTGCATAAATACCTAAACATTCTCTTCTGATTGGTAAGGAAAGTTTTCTCTTTCAGTTGTCTTTGTAAGACTAATAGCAGTTAATAGTGGTCCAGCTCTCTCTTGCCTCTTAGCTCCTTGTAACTCCCGGGGGGTAGAAACCCCCGGAGCAAAATACCTTTGAAACCGAAATCAGTGAAAGGGAGAAATAAAGTGGGAGAAACCCATTTATTTCTTACAAGCAGTCGTCCACTTCTGCTCGCCCGTGCCTCTCACAACGCAGCTGCAGAAAAAGGGACCCCACCCAACTTCTCCAGTCCAGATATGCTCTTGCCCCCCCTTATATACTTACCTATTGATATGGAGATAGATTGCGCTCCACCCCTTGTAAACACTTATTGATATGGAGATGAACTAAGGCCAGGCAAGAGATTGTGGAAATGTTGCAATTTTACCCATGCTCCTTAACACACACACCACTCACGGCACACACAATTCAATCACGGAGTCTCACTAATTCTTGCCCTCTTGAATTAGTTTTTCTTTCTCATACAGACTGCCCCTAGCTTTTTCTCTGGTGTCTATTATTACAGTTCCTTCTTTGTTGATGACCACTCCCAGGCAGTCTTCCCTAAAGGGCACTTGAATTACTCCTAGAGACCTGTTACATCTACAGATAACCATGACCTACTCTTTTCCCAACTGAGCCAGGATAGCCTACCCAGCTTTCCCCTCTTGCTGGCCCTGAAAATAGACTTTATAGCAAAAGACAGAATAAACAAAACAACAAACATGGAAAGCTGAAAGTTCAAAAATTTGGGGGCATTCTTTTCACATATTTCAATATAGTTGCTAATAATTGGCAAAGCATATTACAGTATGAAAGTGAACTTCTTAATATTTCACCCTGTATTCTAGAGTCTGCTCCTTAGGTTGCAGGGACAGACACTTAATGCTGTGAGTAGCCAGAGCTAATTTAAATCCAGGGGTATGATTCATGCCAACCAAACCTACTGGAGACTGATGTCGAAACCAGAATTACTTTTTTTCTTTTTCATGAAAAACATAACTGCCATGAAGGCCAGAAAACTCTGGTTGACACAATTTTACTCAAATGGAACATTTACCTGAGAAGCCAAATTCCAAAGGATGCCTGCTGAATGTGAAATCAACACAAAAAAATTAATGTGAATAATTTTATTTGATTACTCCATCCTCCGTTGGCTTCTTCAACACAACTCCCTTGGTTCTCTTGACTTACTGTCCATACCTTCCCATTATTTTTTAAGAGCTTCTCTTCCTCTGACTTGCTATTTTCTCTGCCTCTTTACATTCTATACACTCTCAAAGTATCCTTACAGCATTCATTCTCCTTAAACACTTATGTTCCACGCTTTCCTCTAATATAGGTGATTGCCCAGCTTCCATTCCATAATTCTATTGGGTTCACCCATGCACTTTGGATGCAGTCACCACCACCACCACCACCTCACCACTCTTACTCTACCCCTCAACTCCCCGTCAACTCCAAGAATGGTCCAACTAGCCTAAAACGGTCAGAATTACCCTCAACTCCCTTTGAACTGGTTTTTGTTTTAGAAATGAATCAGAGTGAAGCCTAGAATTTTGACTATGGGCAAAAGAGAGGTTTATTCTTTCTCTGAGTGATATGACACTGGCATTAGAATGTGAATACTGGACAAGCTAAATCTTTTTTTATCCCACTACTAAGGAAAACCAACTGAGAATGTGGAGGAGGAAGGGTTAGGTGAATCAATCATAGGAAAAAGAAGTAAATTCCTGAAAGCATCAAAAGCTTCCAAATCAAACCCAACTTGACTCCTTGCTACCTCCAGACTACTCTGTTACAGGAGCCAATAAACTCCCTTTTCTCTTTAAGCTGAAAGAATACAGAATAAACCACTGTGGCATAAAACTTTTTTTAGCTAAAGGCTTTTGAGTCTGAAATCCTTAATCTGTCTATAGGCAGACCCTCCCAAAAGGAGGTTTCTTTTTATGAAGAGAAGATTATGACTCAACTGTCATAAATCTCTGAGGGAACAACCAGGAAGACTGACTTTTATCACCAAAGATACAGAATTGTCACCAGACCTAAACAGTCATTGTTACAAAACTACTCTATCTCCCATCTATTCTCCTAAGGGCTCATTTATCCTTCCTAAAAGTCATGTTTTTTTCCACAAGTATATTCTCTCCCCTACTCTCCTAAGAACTCATTTGTTTTCACATATATGCCCTTCTCCTCCTCCCCTTAACCTATTAAAATGGTATATAAGTCCCAAATTCTAACCACCCCTTTGAGTCACATGAACAGTCCTACATAGTGTGGGATTGAAATCTCTTTTTTCTTGCTAACCTGTCTTTGGTTAATTCACAGGCACCCAAAAAACTAAACCTAAGATAGTAAAGTTTTTCCTCCCTGACAAAGCCAATTTGATTTGGGTTTTCTGTTAACCTGCAAACGAAAGCATCCTAATTGTGGTGGAGACAATAAATATTCACCATCTTATTTTTCTCTTGCATACTCAGGAAAACCACATTTCCTAGCTCCCTTACTTCTACATCGAGCCATGTGACTGTTTCTGGCTAATGGAATATAGACAGAAGCAGTGATTACCCAATCTGAGCCTGAATCTCAAAACCTCCAGTGATTTTATAGATACAGAAAACTGAGGAGCTAAGGCATGGCAGCAACATTAGATGGAAGGACCCTGGGTTTCTTAATAATTGCATGGAAGACATCCACTACACTGATGCTAGTTGTATTAATTAGAGCAACATAAACTTTACTGGGTTATGACACTGAGATTTGAGAGTTGTTTGTTATAATAGCTATAATCATTAACCCTGATTGATAATAGAAATAGTGGCCTACTATAATAAAAAATCTAAAATATGTGGCATTAGTTTGGCATAACAGTCTTGTGGGAATAAGGAAATACAGTAGGATGGATAACTAAAGATTCATATCAAGTGGCTAAACCATTGCCTACAATACCTTAATTTGCACAAGTACATAACTCTAAGGGAAGAGTTCAGAAAGCAATATTAATAGTGGATGTTGGTGATATTTTATGTGACTAGCAAGATAATTCAGTTTATAAACAGAAATGAATAGACAGAGTCCATCATTTGGGGGCCTTGTAGTGTTGTAAAAACACAGTACTTCTAGATTTCAAAGAGAAAGAAATGATTATAAAAGGCTTTGAGCGAGAAAGTCCCAGTAGGATTTGAACAAAATGAGTCAGTCCTTAGGAAGAGATCAGATTAGTTACTATTGTTTCAGATAGCCTCAAAGTAGCATCTGTTATTTTCCCCCCAGCTTTACTGAGGTATGGTTGACAAAATTGTATATACTTAAAAGTGTTTAAGTGATGTTTGATATACATATCCATTGTGAAATGATTACCACAATCAGGTTAATGAACAAATCCATCAACCTCACATAGTTACTTTGTGTGTGTGTGTGTGTGTGTGTGTAAGCACATGTGTGTGTGGTGTGAGAAAGCTTAAAATAGTGTTTGTGACCAGCAGGGTAGATTGAGGCAGAAACAATCACTTAGTTTCCTCCTCTGAACATTTCCCATCCCTCTTACATTCAAGTGGCAGCATATAACTAGTGCAGGTTAGTGGAATGTTACCAGAGACAATTTACACCAATGGTACTAAAAGTGTGCTCAGAGACCAGTGTCGTTCCATGACTTGTTTGTTTCTGGTCCATAACAAGGTAAGCATAGCAGATGAAAGTACTTAGAAACTTTTACAGAAATCTGACATTCTCACAACATTTTTGTTATCTTCTAAAAAGCGTTAGTCTGCAATAGGTTGGAAAGTTTCTAAAGTGGTCCTTTACTACACATAGTGTGAACAGCTGTAGTATAATATCACTTCTAGCCTGGCCTCTAAAACCTTTTAACATTCTTCTAGAATATTTTTGTTCTTCATTTGGCAAGGTACAGAAGATCCACCAGAGTACTGTGAAGCCTGGAAGACAGTATAGATGCTAAGTAGAAGTAATCTGAGTTTTCTGAATGATTGATGGAATAGAAACACTTCCCCCACTGAACACATCGATGTATGCTAGACTATAAAGTGAATGGCAAACAAATTTTCATGTTTTGGGGGTTATTTGTCGAATAGCTAGTGTTAATTACCCAAATAAATTTTTACTGAATTTTCCTACAACATTGAACTTTATCTCTATACTCATGATTCCTGAATTTATATCTTCAAAGCATATCCTTCTCCAAAGCAGCTGAGAAATATCATATACTTGACAGTCCTATTTGGATGTCCCACAGTATCTAAAAAGTCAACATTTTTTAAAGTTAATCCACTATGCTCCCTCTTTTTCCTTTTCTGTTCCATTCTGTTGAACTCTATCACCATCTCTCTAATTGTCCAACCCTAAAACCTAGGTAACCCTCAGCTTCTCCTTCTCTGGCCATCATAACTAATCAACCCTGTACCATGTTCTGAAGATTCTACCTTCCTTACATCTTCCTAAACCTTTC